CACAACAACTCATCATTATTATAACTTTCCAAAAAAAAAAAAAAATTTACCATTATTATATTTATTCTCTTTCTCCTATCTCTCATTTCATATCTCTATCACTCTATTTTATCCACTTCTTACACCCCAACCCTTTAACCATGGCCATCTCCACCTCTTACACCTCCATCTTCTTAACCATGGCCATCACCCCTCCCCTTTCAACCTCCTACCACCACCGCCTCTCCACCAATCACCATATTTATAGACGTATATACTTTGGTAATGCTGTACACCTAAACACATATGTATAAATCTAATTTGAGTAAGAACCAATATATCCACGCAAATACACTCGTGAATCAAATTATATATATATATATATATATATATATATATATATATATATAATCACACATTGTTATTTTCTGTTAAAAATTCTTTAATTTTTTTCAATTAGTTTTCATCACGTTGACTTATTTTGAGAGTTAGTTAATATTCCAAAAAACAAAACAGACTATTTAAAAGAATATGCAAATATCGCATTAATTAGTTTTAAGTGACAGTAAACTATGCTTCCAAACGTGATACATGATAGGTCCTGTGATTTCCACCACACGAGGTGATTCAAATCCTTAAATTACCCCCCTCAAAAGTTATCAATTATTAAATTAACCTTAAATTAAAAGTTGTATTAAATAATTCACTTAACTTTTCATATATCTCAAGTTAAGAAGTACAGACACGGATATAGGATACGGATACGATACGACACAAATACGGCAATACGTCAAATTTCAAAAAAATCAGACACAGACATGGAAAGGATACAACAATAAAATAAAATAATTAATTATTATATATATAAATAATAAAGTAGTAATTGTGTTTTTTCAATTTCTCCTATATTCTTAACCCTTTTAAATTAGGCCCACTAAATATTTTGAGTCTAAGGCCCAAATTCTATTAATATATAAACAAAGAAATAAACATCTATATATTCAAAAAGGCTAAGTTTTATTTGTAACCAAATAAGGGATAAAAGTAGATAAGGTTTAACTTTTATTCTTTATCTACTCTCTTTAGTTGTTTTTTTTCCCATAACACCACTCTTTTCATCTTCTCCTTTCTTTTCTTTTTTTCTTTTTTTCTCTTTCCGGTCCTCTCACAGGTAATTGTCCCTATGTTATAACCTTATACGTCTCTACATCAAGCAATTGTGAAGTGTCTCTCTCTCTATATATATATAGATATATGTGTGTGTGTGTGTCATCTTCTTTTCTCTATTTTTTTTTTTTTTTTTGAAGAAACGGCAGCGTCCTTTGTGTGTCCTTCCCGGTTTCCGTTCTATATTAAATAATAAAAAATTAAAACACCAATATGAAGTGTGTTAGACACGTGTCCAACACCGATACGTCATATCTTGAGAAGAAACTGCTCGAATATAAGGGTTAAATAATAAAAACTCCTAAAAATGTCGGGATTACAAGAAAACATAATAAATAAGAAGAATTCGTGACTTTTCTCGTGAGAAATCCTGTCAAGAGCATTACTCTAGGCGAAAAATGTCGGATGCTTAGCAGGAGACATGATATCTGTTATAGGCAGGAGAATCAACCTTCTGCGATTCACATTTGAAAATTTAAAGAGTGGAGCACTGAACAGGATAATGATAGCCTGCAAACAAGCTGAGCTTCTGATTTTGAAGTAACTTCATGCCATCCCAAGGGCAGAGTCCAAAGAGATAGGCTGTCTAAGCCAGCTTTTGCCTCCACAATCCATCTTATCTAGCTCAACACCCAATTTTGGCAAAGAACTAGTGTGTGTAGTAAATATCTGGGAAAAGCAGCAAATGTCAGAATTGCAATTATTATGTAAGCAGCTGTCTCAAATTAACTTCTACTTTATCACTAGTGAGAGGAATCTGAAAATCTGCATGAAAGTTGATTGATCTCCCAATTTCATCATAAGGGGGCAGCAATAGGATTTCGTTGAGAGGCCTACATGAACACAAACCTAGAACAAAACTTTAATTTGATGAAATAATTCTTTTATTTTATTTTATTTTATTATTATTATTTTTTTAATGAGAGTTCTGTACTCCTTTTGTCTCAAAATACATGACCACATTGATATCTGTGACTATTAATGTGGACAACTATTTTAAAATAAAGAAAGTATTTTTTATAAAAAAAAAAAAATTAAAATCACGAAGGTTGCAAATTTTTGCAACGGGTCTTGCAAGTTATTTAAGTCATTACCTAATATCCTATTAATTTGTCTTAACTCACCTTTAAAAAGGTTTTTTTTTTTTAAAAAAAAATATATAAAAGACTTTATGCAATAAAAATGTTTTAATTCCTGTAAATCATAGTAGAAAAAAATCATTTGCGATAGTATACACAACCATTATTTGACTAAACTCTTCATCAAATTATACCAGTCCAATTTTATTAGTCCAACTCTTTTAAGAATGGCCAATATATATATATATTTTTTCTTTCCAAAACAATCACGATTGATTTTATTTCCAAACTCTGTCTGAAATTGAAAAATCACTAAATTTATATATGTGAGAAAAAACTCCTATTCATATAAGTTAACATATTACTAGAACAGAATAGGAGCTTAAAATATTATATAAAAATTTAATGTTAACCTATATAAATAAAGCTTTTCTAGTAGGTCTATTTTTGGTCAAAGAAAGATAATGTTTTCCATCCCTCTCAAGTTCCCATCACCTTCAATTGATAGGGCAACCATTCGGTAAAATCTTTTTTTTCCCCTCTCATCAATGGAAAATTTGAAAAGAAATATTAGGATCAATTTTGTGTCACTTAGGAGCTTCGATTAGTTTGTATTCATATGGAGGTTGGATATGGAGATTTGCGGGAAGAGAGAGAAGAGAGTCACCCTAAAGGAGGGATTCTAAAAATTTTTAAATAGAGAAAGAAAAAAAAGAAAAATTTAAATTTTGGTTTAAGCCATAAAAAGTTGGATAATGACCATTATTAAAAAATTTAAAATTTTAGACAGGTATTTAAATTGTATTGGGGACGAGAGGATGAACTCATTAACCCAACCCAAGTATTATCCTTTAAGAATTATAAGAATAACCTTTTTAAGAATTATTGGAGTAACCTCTTGTTAAGAATTCCAGATCGAATACACATAAATATATTTATATATCCTATATAATATTTATACAGTCTAATACTCGTATATAACTGGTAAATTGAGAATCATTGGTGTCAACATTGAATTCGCATCTTTAAAGAAAAAATGAAAAGAAGGTAAAACCATTACTATTATTTAAAAAAATTATCTTTTTTATTTTCAGATGTAAAATACTTTTTAGAAATACTTTTTAATTTTTGATATTTGACATAAAAAATTTAAGTGAAATATTTAAGAAGTAAAATATTTTATTAAAACTTAACAAAAATAACTTACATATCAACTTTAGATAAGTCATTTTACATGCTCAACTCGGCTTCAACCTCGACATATATCTTTGTCAAGCACCAAAAATAAAAAGTAAAAAAGTATTTTACTTAAAAAAAATAAAGTATTTTGTGGCAAAACAAACAAAGCCTGGATATAAAAATTAAGGATAATGTTTAACTACTCACCGATGAGTAGTTTTACCTTATTCATTTTTTATGTATTTCAATAATATAATAACACATTAACTTTAATAATAAAATTTTGTTATTAACTTTAATAACAAAATTTATTAAAATTGATGTGTTATTTTGCTATTGAAACAATACCAACCTTTGATGGGTCTAAATTCTCATTTCTCAAACCCTAAAGTTCCTCATCGCTGTCGAGGTTCTTTGTGATCATAGATTTGCTCGTTCTATCGTGAGTTGTGATAATCGATCCTCTATTTAGGGATGGTTTTGTGGATGTTGTTGGTTGTTGGATCTCCTTATCCACCTTGATGTGCCAATTGCTTGCTGTGTGGGCTCTCTTGCTATGCCCCTTTTCATCTCTGTTAGACAATTTTTTCCTGGCATCTCTTCCATCCTTTCTTTTCTATTCGCTTATGCTGTCTATTCTATTATCGTTGAGGTTTCTTTTGGTTTCTGTATTGTGGCTTGCTGTGAGGTTTGGGGATAGTTGGAATTTTGGGTCTGGGTTTGCGATCTCTTTGCTAGGTAGTCTAGGGCAAGTTCCTGATTGTGTGGAAGCCATTCTTTGGGTTGTCTGTCTCTTTCGGGTTGTTTTGTAGCAAACTGCAGTAATCTATTATGTATGTGGTTTGATTGTTGGGTGGGAAATTGTTTCTCTATTAGGGCTGTTGGTGTTTGGGCAGTAGTGGAGGAGCACAAGTTGTTGGACTCTATGGCGGGATGTGATATGGCGAGTGGCTCCTGCTTACTGACTCATGTTACTAATTTACCTTTGACCCTTATTGATTATGGTTGTTTAACCCCAGTCTCAGTTGCTGGTTCTTTTTATCCGGGATCGTCAGAGTTGCATCCCACTTATGTTTCTCACGATAGTTCTTGCCATATCCCTCATCCTAACAACTTCCAATTCTTGATTTGGAATTTTCAGGGGGTGGGTAATACTATCACAGTGCAACAATTACTAAAACTTCAAAAATGTCATTCTTCGGATGTTATTGCTCTCCTTGAAATGAAGAACACTCCACCAAAAATTCAGCGGCTGAAACAGCTATTAAAGTATGATTTTTATTAGTATATTAATCCGGTGGCCATGGTTGGGGGAATTGCATTGTTTTGGCACGTACATAATCTATTTTGCATCCTTGATTATTGTGAGTATCAGGTTACGATAGAGCTTAATTCTGCTCGTCATGGAGTATGGGTTCTTACCTATAAAGTATGGACACGGAACACGAGACACGGATACGGCGACACGACAAATTTTAAAAAAACAGGACACGGACACGGCGGGGATACGGCTATATATATATATATATATATATATATATATTCAAAATTCACAATTCATCATCTAAGTATTTAAGAACCAAGCAAATAATTTATCACCTAAAAGTCATAAGTTCAAGAACTAAAAATCTATAATATATGCATCTTTTATCATTGGCCATTGATCACATAAGATTCGTACAAATAATAACTGAACAGTTTACTTATAAAAAAAACAAAAAAAAACTGAACAGTGATTAATTGAGAACAGTGAGCCCAAAAAAGAAAAGGAACTCTATAATCCTCTTCATTGAGTTGGATCTTCTAGAAATTCATTGTCATTTCCATCTCCCTCATCGGTAAATATCATGGCCTCCAAGTCCGGTTCATCAAGTGAAAGATTTGCAATCTCAAGTATTCCACTACCTTCTAAGGAATCAAATGCATCTCCCCCAACATCCCACATCTTAGTTTCACCCACATTATATTGTGGAGTTCTCCTTGATAGAAGACGAAGATTGGAATGTACAAATACCAAATCTTCGGCTCTTTGTGGTGCTATCTTGTTCTTCTTCAAAGATTGGATAAAAGAATATGTACTCCAATTCCTCTCACAACATGCGGAGGAACAAGGATGTCCAAGTACATTCAAAGCCAAAGATTGGATGAGGGGTGTTGAAGCTCCATAAGAAACCCACCAAATTGCCGGCTCCATAAGTCCTCTATCATTCAAGGAATCAACCGATCCAAACTCTCTAAAACCCGCCGAAAAACAAGCATACTCTTCTTTAACCTTCCTTCTCTCCACATCATTAGTAAAGTACCTTTGGAAGCATTTTTCTCTTAAACTTGAAATCTCTTGATCTCTATGTGGAGGAACACGATTGGGAGCCTCTTGAAGCCATTGTGTGCTATAAAACCTAGAAGTGACAAAATGATAGCTAAAAGTTAATTTGACAAAAATTCAAATTAGAACCTAAAAAATGTATAAAATATTAAAAATTACCTTGGATTCAAGGAATGTGCTAAGCAATGAAGGGTTGTGTTGCTCTTACTCCATCTAGCACTTAATATTTCGCGCACCACCAAAAAGAATGGAGACTCCTCATGCTCTTGCTTTCTTTCATGATGATAAATAGCGGCCTTCACTTTAGCTATCATGGAGTCCCACATCTCATACACCAAGTGAAGACAAGGAACATCCGTATCGGCCCTCCTAAGCATATCATAGATTGGCTCAGTAAAGTTAATTATGTAATCAATATCTCGCCACCAATCATCACTTACTATTTTTGTCTTGATAGTTAAGGCCCTTTGAACATTATCTTCCCTATAAGATGTCCAAAAATCACTCATCACCATGTCTTGGAGACCACGTTTTATTTGCTTAAATCTTCTTAGCATCACAATCATTGAAGCAAAACGTGTATCCGCAATAGAAAGCATGGTTAATTTCACATTTTCATGAAACATTGTCAATCTCATGGAATGATTCATTATAAAAATTTTAATAAACATACAATCATCGATAATAGTTGTAATCCAATGGCATTCTAGAAAAATAACTTCATTGGCATCGGTATTTTTAGCCGCACAAATATTTTTCAAAGCAATGTTGAGGGTATGAACCACACAAGGAGTCCAAAATACTTTTGGAAATTGGACTTCAACAAGCAATCCTACACTCCTACAAACAGGAGCATTATCGGTAATAACTTAGACCACATTATCGGGTCCAACCTCTTGAATGGTCTCCTTGATCAACTCCGAGATGAAAAATTTATCTTTGAATTCACCTTCACAATTTACCGCTTTCAAGAACATAGGACCATTTTCACTCATAGCCATAAAATTGATGATTGGCCTCCTTTGTGGATCCGTCCATCCATCACAAACAATAGTAACACCATTTTCCTTCCAAGAATCTTTAATTGGAATCATCAACCTCTCTATGTTTGCTCTCTCATTTTGAAGAAGAGTAGTCCTCAACAAGTTGTAACCAGGAGGAATATAGCCACTAATACCATTATTAGAGGCATAAGTGTAAGAGGCAACATAGTGTGGGTTCCTTGCAAGGTGAAAAGTCAAACCGGCCGAGTAAAACATTCTTGCAATTTCACTATGCAATTCATCACGAGCTCCAAGATTAAATGCTTTTTCAATCGCCGAACTAGTTTTCCTCTTTCTTGGTTCAAAAACATCAAGCATAAATGGCCCACCTCCTGTGCTTACATTTGCACTTGATAAAGATCCAGCTTTGCTTGACTTTGTGGAAGGTGGCAAAGGAACCTGTTTGGGCATCCTTCTCTTAATTCTTATTTCAGCTTCATTAACTAACCTTTGCATTTCTGCTATATGATCATTAGTCACTTTTTTACATGCTTGAATGCCATGCCCCGAGATTTTTAGCAAATGCACTTTCACCCTATAGTATGATCCCTTAAAATTCCCTTAACAATAATTGCATTGAAATTTTATATTTCCCCATCCTCCCCCAACCTTATCAAACTTTTTAACATATTTCCAGAGAGGGGTGTTATCATCAGGTTCAACCCCACTGCTAGAACCTTGCACATTCATTTTCCTAATAACAAACAGTTATATATAAATACAAAATTGCAAATAAAACTAAAACAAATAACAAGACTAATTTTAATAAATTTTATTCATCATTCTTATAAAAATTTCAAAATAATTTTTTTTCCCTAGTGCTAATAGTGGCAAATTCCTTCCAATTCTCTAAGACTAATTCAACTGTTAGTAATGGCTTAAAGAGGCAAACTACACTAGGTAAAACGTTTTAAATGCAATTAAAGTGTCATCTTACCAAATACGGGCAAGTAATATTTGAATCATGTTGTGTCAGGAGATGGATAACAAGATAATTTTAAGGCTTTCATTATGATTTCTCAGGGCTCCAAAAGGAAGAGAAAGTGAGGAAAAAAAGTCAGTTCCAAATAATACGGTATCGTTGAATAATAAGCTTTTTTTTTTTTTTTTTTTTTTTTTTTTTTTTTTTCCCGGTAAATTGCTTATCTAGTTCTCTTTCAGTTTCACGAAGTCTTGTAATGTTGTACAACTTGTACATGTAACTTAAAAAAAAAAAAAAAAATCTTTTTCATGTACGTTACAGAGGTCTAATTGAAGAAGATGAGAGAGGAAGTGAGAGAAAAGAAACTTACTTGGTGGAGTTGCCGTAGTAGACACCGGAGATACGAAAAATTTGGTGAAGAGTTGCTATCCTTGAGCTCGTAATCGCATCTGAGGAGAGGAATCGCCTTGTAAAGGAACAGAGGATTTGGGGATTTTGGGTCTAGGGCACAGAAGACAGAACCGACGACATTTAGAATTTTACTGTGTAAGTGTGTAGTCTTTAGTATATATTATATAATTGTTTTATATTTTTTTCAAAATTTTACTTTTAACTTCTAAAATTAGTAAATTACATTAGGTACCCATTTATCTTTAAAAAAATTACAAAATAAACCCCGCCGTGTCCCCCGCGTGTCCGTGCCGTGTCCGCCACGTGTCCGAGCCGTGTCCAATAAAAAATTATTTCTGGACACTCCGCAGAAGTGTCGGATACGTGTCCGACCCTCGGATAGGCGTGTCGGTGTCCGAAAAGTGTCCGACACTAGTACGTGACCCCTGAGAGGAGTGTCCGTAATTCATAGGTTCTTACGATTATTTATGCTAGTATGGATGATAAAATCTGATCGGCCCAGTGGGAGTATATTAAAAGGATGCGGAGGGATTGGAATAACCGATGGGTTATTATTCATGATTTTAATGATCTATTGTGCCCGTCCGAAAAAATTGGTGGTATTGCCAAACCGTTTTGGGTTCTAAGGAATTTTTGAAGTTTAGTGGCTGATTGTGGTCTATTGGACTTGGGGTTCGATAGATATCCGTTTACTTCGTGTAATGATTGGAGTGGATCAGGTAATATACATAAGCGATTGGATCGGGCATTGATTAGTAAGGCGTACTGTCATTTGTTTCTGAAAGCTCGGGTTCGCCATCTTTGTAATACCCCTAATTTTAAAAAGGACTTAATTGGAATTAAATTATTGTATTTTAGGTGCTTAGGTGGATATGTGTTTATGTGAGTTCATGTTATTTGTTTAATTGCTAATTGTTTAAATTGGTAATTGATTTCTTTGTGGTTATTGAATTATATGCTTATGTTGATGTTCGTTAATGGGTTAAATTAATTTGTTTGTTTAACTGGTATTGTCTGTTTAATTAAAATTATAAAATAGGTGACTTGAATTGAATGGTTAAATAAATTGTTTCAATTAAGATATTTGTAATGACCCGGTCATTTTTCTTTATTTCCTTTTTTCTGAAATTTTACGGATAAATTTTTTCCGTTTAATTTTCCTTTCTGAGTTCTGTTTCTCGTCGTTTAGTGTCATCTCGAGTGCTCAGAAATGGTTTTTGAGACTTTTTCGTTTGGATTGACAACTTCCTTTGAGGACCGAGTCATTTCCACATTTTCACTTTTCGGACACTATTCACTTTTTGTTCTTTTCCCTGTTTCGTCCTTTTCCCTATTCTGTCTTTTCCCTGTTTGTCACTTTGTTGGCAAAACCTCACCTTTCGTGCTTGAAGTTGGTTTTTGACTTCACGTGTCTTCATTCAAGGTGGTTTCCACGAAATACGTATCTTTACTTTTACAAGAAAGTACTCTAGTTGCTCCTGATGTCCATAGGGGCATGGATGCATAGTTCTTTCGAATTATTTTATTTTCTTGGGATGTTTTTCATAAATATATTTTGAAGATATTTTATTTCAGGGGTATCTAAGAAAATATTTTTGGAAGATATTTTCATTCTGGGTCATTAGTGCAGTTATGGGTCATTGTGCAATTAATGAAAGTTATTGCAAAAATACCTCATCTGGAGCTTGGATCCTCGTAGGGGATTCATTTTCACATTTCATCAAGTCATTTACTCTTAGAATTCCGTTCTGGTCGTTTTTCTCCAGTTTCAGAGTTTCTGACCCCGATTGCTGCCGAACTTGTTCGAGGCGTATCTCTCTGCTCGGGACTCGGTTTTTGACGTCGTTTCTTCCATTATTCATCTTTTCTCATTTTAAATCTTTTTCATTCACAGAGTTTTCCCATTTGAGCACGTTTGTTCAAAATCCACTTTTCCAGACCCGATTGGGCCAAATAGGGGACTTAAAGAGAAAAAGTCAGAATTTCTTCTCTCTCTCCTCTCTCTTAGCTTGCAGCCATGGCTGCCAAGGGGCTGCATGCTTCATCTTCTTTTTTTGGCCACTTCCCTTGAGTGAAACATCGTAGTGCCTTAACGTTTAATGCTTGTCTTGACGACGCGCATCTTTCACCCTTATTAGAACCCATTTCTGACCAAATTTTGAGTTCAGGTTTGAAGTCAAGTTGTGATTTTCATGGGGTTTCCTTTGGATTCTTGTTCATCGTGTTGTCCCCAACAAAACACTTCGGTATCATCGGATTCAGAGCACTTTTATTTCGGTGGGCCTTTGAGATTTTCATCTCAAATTGAGGTAGAGGGTGTTATAATTTATTTTCTAGTTATATTGCATGCTTGTGATGCATATACAACTTGTTTACATGCTAGTATATTAAATCTAGAACTTTTGATTATTTATTTTCTAGTATGAGATTTGATTTTTTCGGTTGCTCATAGCTTTGTTTAAACATGTGGCATGATAGAATATTGCCCCTTGATATGTTGATTGACATATATTAAATCTAGATTATTTGGACAAGTAACGAAGATTTTATTTAATATTTATCTTGAATAAAATATTAAATCATGTGGCCTTAATTAGCTTGAAATCAATGTGTGTTAGCATATTATATTAGGCCCTAGCATGCTCTTCAACATAGGTGAATTTGAGAGTAATCGGAGGTGTTTTGAAATCTAGAGAATATTTAATTAATTGATTAATTAATTTATTCCATGCGTACTATTTACTCCGTTTGAATTTCGACTTGATATTCTCGATATATATGTCATATAGTTTCACATATATTAAATCTAGAATATTTGATTAAGTTTTGAAACTTCTCATTTATTATTTTTCTAGTATTAAAATTTAATGCTCATGGCTGTGTCTTGCTTATAAGTCACTTGTATCATGTTTTTGAATCAAGTCTTGACAAGTTGTATAACATATATAAATTTGAGATCATTTAGATGAATTTCAAAACCTAGAGATTTTAATTAAATGAAATAATTAAAATCCATTCAATAGCTCATTGGTCTTGATTAAGTTTCTAACTTGGTAATCATGCTTTCCTTGACAAGTTCCCTCACGCGTATCAATTTGAGAATAACTGGATAAGTTTTGAAACTTATATTTATTTATTTATTTTGTATGGAATTAAATTCACATGGTCGTGTCTTGTATGAAATGAACTTGTAACTTGACATTGAACTTGCCTTTGACATGACCTTTGACTTGCCTTACTCGTAGAATAATTGGACTTGCCATGTAATCTTGATAATTTAATCCCTTAAGTAGATTAAATTCCTTTGTATGCTTCCATCGAGTTAATCATGCCTTGATATTGAATCCTCGTTAAACTTGTGAATTGTACTTGTATTTCATGAACTCGTACCTTTTTATCAAGCATCGTGAACCTTGTATCTTGATTTCATTAATGTACTTAATGAACTTGCACATTTGTCTTGGAACGATTTAATTACTCACGTGTTGCTTAGTAGGTAATTGAATATGTATTTTATACTTGTGGTATATGTACTTCAATGGATTTCTTATGCTATATATCTTGGTTCTAATCTATATAGATCCATACTATGATTTCTTGACATTTCACATGCCATCATAGTTGTGAACTTAGGGCATGACTTGTGTGTTCCAAAGTCTTGGTTGTGCATGAAACGTGGTAAATGCATTTCTTATATTTTGATACAATCTTGGTTGCACAACTTATTAATTTTGGGACTTGGGATATCAATCAAGAATTGACATGGCTAGGACTTGGCTCTAGTATGGGGGAATGTCCTCCTACACTATAGTGCACACTAGGGGAAAGGTATCCATGGGTTAGTAGCCCTAAAGTGATCTCAAGAGTACGGTTTTAATCCGGGCGATTTTCGAGTTTTCCACATTAGTTGATTTTACTCTTTAAATTTCAAGTTGCTATTCCTTGAAGATTTAAACTTGTCATGTGTGTGAAATGCTCCAATCCTATTTACTTGCATAGATATTATGCCTTGTTCTTGATTTCATGTATAACTCTTTTCGCGTTTCATAGAATGTTCCATCCTTGTTTAATTGCATAGATATTATGCCTTGTTCTTGATTTCGTGTATTACCTATTGCGTTAATTGGAATGCTCCAATCATGTTAATTGCATTGATAATGTAATTCTTGTTAATTTATATCCATGTATACTTCTTGTCTTGTTAAATTGGAATGTTCTAATCATGTAAATTGCTTTGACGATTTGATCTTTGTTTTCTAGTACCTTATTGTCGTGTTGTGTAGATTATTCTAAACCTTGCTTAATTGTATTGATAATGCAATTCATGTTAACTTATATTCAAGCATCCTTCTTGCCATGTTCCTTGGATTATCCCAATCTTGATTTGTTTCACACATGTATATGTATCATGATTCTTGTTATTAGTACTCTAGGTAGCTTAGGATGCTCCCTGAGTCTCATTTTGATATAGACGTTAAGTGGTATGACCATCTTGAACTGTTCCATGTAGTATAAAAATCTCTAAAGAAATTGAGTCGATGCATGCTCATTCTCTATGAGTAAACTTATTTACTCACCCCGAAGTTACTGAGGGATTTGTTTAGGTACGAAGACTTGGTTCGTGATGCTTGTCGTTCATTAGGATGGCTTGAAGTTTCGAGTTTCTATTTCATGCAAGTGTTAGCATGAAGTATCATTTGGTAGCCTTATGTATCAAACTTGTATTCTTTGATTCCATTGTGTAATATGTACATAAGTACACTCTTTTCATTGTATTCAACATGTATAACATGAGGCCAAGGGCCAAGCATGTTCATATTTGCACTTCTACTCATTTGGCGCCACCTTTTGTTTAAAAATGTAATTTTTCATAACTTTAAGGTTTGGCATGTCAAATCTTGTAAATGTGATGTAATAAGGCCATAGGCCATAGTAGCATGTTTAAAATACCATATTACATTTGTGTGTATGTTCACATCATCACACATTAGCTTATAATGCAAATTGATT